ATACTCCCACTACAATAAATGTTACATTTCTTGAGACACATTTTTGTTGACACATAAAGGGCTTGTTTGGTAATCAGCGGTTGGCGGTTAGCGGTTAGCGGATGATGTTAGCAGGTTGTAAATAGCGGGTTGAGTCAGCAGATTTGACCTGCGGATTAATTTGGCGGATTGCAAAAAGATGTTTGGCAATTTAGCTGTTTGATCGTAGCGGTTCCTAGGTAAAAAGACAAAAAAAGACATTAATAAATTTTAGTACGGAGTATTTCTTTCTGCGAATAGTTTAGCCGAAAGTGTAAGCACTAACATTAAACATCACCTAGCCATAGCTTACAATACATTTAGAGAAGATTTGGTTTCTTCATAGGGGTGAAAGCCTGGCAACTCGGTAACATTTTTCATACCTGTGACTCATCATCTGAAAGCCTGGCATCTCATCATCTCAAAGTAATAAATTAGTATACTTTGAATGATACTCCCTCCGTCCTCTGATAGATGGGAATATAGACTTTGGCACAAGATTTAAGAAGAAATTGATAGGGGTAGGATATAAGGTGTAGTAGGTTGTGTGTAAAGGAAAAAGTAAGAAAGAGAATGAAAACTAGGAAAAAGAATAAGGGTAAATAGGTATATTTATTGAAAAAACTTTCCAAAAATGGAAAGGAAGACAACTAATAGAGAACATTCCAAAATGGAAAGAAGGACAAGTATTAGAGAACGGATGGAGTATTATACTCCCTCCGTTTCTATTTGGTTGACACAGTTTTATTTGTCAAGATTTAAGGGAAAAAGTTATTAAGGAGTAAATTTTACTATAGAGTACACTGTTTGGCACTGTTTGACACTGTTTGAACACTGTTTGGCACTGTTTAGGTAAAGATTTGTTTACCAAATAAGGAAATAAAGAAGTGTGGCATTCATTTTGAAACGTTCAAAAAAGGAAAGTGTGTCAATCAAATAGAAACGGAGGGAGTATAACACAAATATAAACACAATTTGTTGTATTTGTACTTTTGAATGATGTTATATATTTATATAAACACAAATCAAAACGGAATAGTTATCTTATCAAGCAAAAGTGTTAATATAGGTTAGTTATTACTCCGTATGACATTATTTTGGCCATGTTTAGTAAATGGCGTTTCAGCAAAAAATTGGCGGATTTGACCAAATTCAGCGTTTTTAATCGGTCAAAACGCTGAAATTAAGTGTTTGGCAAATGGCGTGTTAAAATGGCGTTTTGGCCCAAACCGCCAAAAATGAAAACGCTAGGGATGGAAGCGTTTACAATTAGCGATTCTATTTTTCTCACGCTTACTCTTTACTCTTATAGAAATGAGTAGCCGACTTTACTAAAAAGTGTATATATACGTGTGCAATGTTATAGCACGTGTAAGACTTATGTTTACATGTATTAATTAAGTACTATTCATATAATAAATGAGTGTCTTTATAATTATAGTGCTAAATATTACTCTACTATTCATATTCACGAATCGAAACGCATGTGATATATACGGAGTAGTAATTTATTAAATGGTTTTATTTATGACTAAAGAAATGATCGGACATACGGACTAGATATGATGTCAAAAATAACACTTTAAATCTTCATAAGTAAACGAAAAGAATAGAACGCGTTGATTATAAATTTAATGAGAAAACTTTGGGTGAAGATTTATTTATAAATTCTGACATCCGAAAATGTCCCTAAATAAACTAAAGAAAAAATGTTTCTCAAAGGCCTTGCTCTTGATCTGGCACTCAGACACGAATACTCCTGATCTGTTCTGTTTAGTGTACTACGTACACTCCTGAAATTCTGTCTTAGAGGAATTAGTGTTCTCCTGTTTAGTGTACTATGTACACTTCTGAAATCTTTTTAGTGCACTATTACTCTTCTGTTAAGGTTCGAGTCTCTTCGGTGATCTCGTCCTTTCTATTCAGCTAGCTTCTGTTAGGGATTGGTACGTGTAGCTCCGGCGATTACGTTTCCATATCCTTTCTGGGTAATGTGGGTACAGACTTCGTGACTGTATTCCTTACCGTTAGTATTCCGCTGTCTAGGTCCAGTTTCTTGAGTTTAAGGCTAAATGATATGTTTTTATTAATGATCCGTTTCAGAATAAGTATTATCTGATAATTATGATATCTGGATATGTTTCTGTTCGGTACACACAATCAAAAATATTCCCAGAATAAAGATTATCTGATACTTAGAATATCTGAATATGCTTCTGATCTGTATATGAATATTTTGATTCTCATAACAGTTATTCGGCTCACTCAGGTATGTCATATGTTTGCTTGACTAGATGCTAAATATGTTATGTTGCTATTTGATTTAATATGTGATTGTTATTATTATCATCATTGTCATGATTATTGTTATTATTATTTGTACCGTACCACTCAGCACATTGCTGAGCGGGTAGTTGTTTGTTTTTCCTACCCGTAGGTTGAAGAGAATCAGCTAAGATAAGGATGCTGGGATGGAAGGAGGCATAGGATTCATGTGCATATCATGTGTGTATTGTTTATAAATAAACAAATAAGAAGCAAGTTTGACTTTAAACTTATCTGATGATTTCATTTTGTAAACGCTTCCGCATATCCTAAAAATATTTTGTGCAGAATAATATTAAGTGATTTATGCCAACTTGATATTTTAGGTATCGAATAATAAGTTGACGTTTGATTAACGATGATTTATTTAAATACTAAATTTTGTTTTAAATAATTAAAGTCTTTTGGTTAAATCCGTTTTGACTTATGCCATGTGACACACCGCTCGGGACGGCGGGGCCGGTTCGGGTAGGGTGTTACAATGTAAACATACACCAGTTCAAAATCATGTCCACAATGTATACTCTCGCCCCAACCACTCCACTGCATAAAGATAGAAGCGAGAGATTCTTGTTAATCATGAAGTGAAACAAATTGATTTAGTTAACTATATAATCAAGCAAATAAATTAGGTTTTAGTTAAAATGTTAAGAATTAAAATTACATAAGTTACTTGAGTTGACCGAGGTGTCGTACAAAGAACAAGAAAATACCGACCAGATTCTTCATTCATTGATTGGAACCCTAAGGAGAAGGTGAGGCATTACTGACTCATTCCGTCACTTAGCTAGGTCTGGAGTTTAATTTGGCAACAAAGAAAATATTGGGTTAAACAATGTAATTCAAGTAGCTTAAACAAAGAAAATATTCTAAATATTAATATTACAAAATACAACATGATAATAAAGAACAAGAAACATAAATATAATTCATATTAGGTATGCTGCCATGCAAATACAATTTTCTATTAAACACAACATGCCAACTTTTACACCACACTTCATATAGATTCATTACAAAACGCAAAATGAATTACAAGCCAAATAGTAACACTAATTATTTCACTTATTTATGAGACTAACCAGAATACTAATTTTGAAATGGAAATTCAGAACAAGTCAATTTTCAGCACCTCTCTTAATAAATAATCACAATACACTTGGTGATTTCAGATGATTTTATTGAGATTTTTATCTCTCTATGAGGTCTGATTTTTCAAAAAGCAACACTTAATAGTTAGTTTTTTTGAATGGCTTAGGAGGGCTTGGCATTTAGCTTGAGATACTGCAATAAACATTCTTTGAATTCTGATCTGAAGATTGTTATTATACATGGTTAAAAATGTAAGATTCTCCATTTCCATTAGTTCCAGGCGTACAAAACAAACATACTTGGTGAATCAGGCGAAAACTTGAACTACGTACATACATACTTTTAAAGAAATGAAAAAATAGAGAGGTTTCGAGAGAAGGAGAAAGTCAAATAATATTCATTCTGAAATCCAATATAATAGGATAATAGAAATCTACCATCTTTCATCTATTAGCCTTATTCGAATTCTTGTTTCATGGCATCATGCTTCACACACCGAATCCTAATCTGGCTAAAAGATGTTGGGCTATGTCTCACACTCTCACTTACCCTCTTTAGTAGAGATAAACTGCTTATACTGGAACGAATATCCTCCCTCTGGTCGCCCGGGCTGAATCCGTATAATGGTTCTCAACTACTGTGTAAGATTTCTTTGACATAGGAGGATGTCCCTTGGAAAGTTTAGCTTCATCCTGTAAAAACTTGCTACAAGCGGGCAACTTACTATATAGAGATGAGTCGGTGGGCAAGTGAGTACCTGTCCAGACATGTATAAAAACAAAAGAAAATCACGCCACCGGATGACGTAAAGATTGCGTGGTTATGCCTTAGGAATCAGAGAGGCATATTAATCTCCTTCCTTCTTTTTTATAAATGAGAGATTGGATACCTATTTATGAGGTAATGATAACAGTACATGGAGAATCTTTCTGCAGATAATTACCAGCATATAGACTCCATCCTTCAGAGCCTTGTTAAAAAAAAAAGATAAAAGTGTCATTAAGCAGAATAGAAGAATTAAATGGACAGGAGAAAGAACCAACAATATATAAAGGCTATGTTTGCTTCTAGGATGATATTTTTTTGGGAAATGTTTTCCTCAAAACCCATACATAAAAAAAACATATAAATTGTTTTCCAATGCATTGAGATGCTCTCCAATGCCAAATAGAGTATAATCAGAATGCATTTTTCACAAGTATATTTTCCTTGAAGCAAATATAGCCTAAAATCCTAGAAATTTCAGAACCTGCTCCGTTCACCTAACATAAACACATCAATCAAAACTTAGCATATGAAAATATACCAACCCCCATAATTTTTTTTTTAAACCTTTCAACCACAACTGCTCACCAGTCACAACTTAGACCATTACAACCAAATACGCTCATACCATAGAGACTCAAGTCTACTTAACATTGCATTTAATTATGATAGAATGAAAACTGAGATCCATATCACACATATTAGCAAATAATGATATAGAATGATGGTAGAGAAAGGCCAACAGGGGTATGCTCCGCCTACTCTCATTTTGGTTCATACACTCTTGGTTCAGAAATATTCCCCAATAGCAAGCTATAATGCTATAAAATATGACATGAAACTGGAGGGGTACATACAGGTGATTCACCCATCCCACAACTGGCCAAAACGTCCATGCTGTATATTGGATTTTTGGGTACTCTCTTGCCACATTTGATTTCACCTGGACCCATGGTCTTCCCTCAATAACTAACCCATGATACAACATGAAAAGAAGGTTGTTCCAAGGTGAAGACGTCACTTGTTCAAGCACAACCTTCTTAGCAGCTGTCTTCGGATCCTTCTTGCCCTTGAAAATTTTGTCCAACAATATATGAAGAAAGTGACCAAATGGTCCTAGATATGCAAAACCAAAAAGCACTTTGAGAAGAAGGCGCTTGATTTGAAGTTTTTGAATGCCAGTAATCTTTTGAGCAGCTATATTACTTATAGCTGACAGTACTCCAGCAGTTATTGCCTTTGTTTGAAGAGGATGTTTCTGAAGTTGAAGCAAGTACTACTTTAAGCCCATCTTTGCTATTGATCCCATATTTTCCCAATAAACTCAACGAAAAGGGATTTCTTACTATGATCGGCCACCGCGACTGTCATCAAGAAACTAGAGAGTAAAACCATACTTCCCACCCCCTGCCCAAGACAATCGGAGTTGTTTCACCAAAGGAACAGACCAAATTAGATGATATTGTTGAAGGATGACCTAAGCTAGGGAGGAGAGATGAAGGAAAAATTACATACTTGAAATAGATGATAATCGCTGATGAAGAAGAACCAGCGAGGAGACGCGCGATGTCACGCAGCCAGACCAAGAACGACGGCCGCACACCGTCTGGGACTCGTCCAGGCTCGAAATCATCGACCGTCGCTGCTGGATCTACGTCCTCGATGAAATCGTTGACCGTCGCGACGGAGTACAGTGATGGAGTAAGGCAACGACGGAGTAAATCGATCCATCCCTGGTCTGGCTGAAGATGGAGAAGACGATCGATCTTAAGGTATAGGGTCAGTGCGAGTAGAGCTCTCGAATTGAAGAAAATCGATGGGTATGTCGCTAGAGTAAATTAAAGTGGGTATGTGAAAAAAAATCTAAGTGTTGGGCGTTAAAAAAAAGAAGTAATTACCAAATAACGAAACTTTTCGTTCTGACGTTCCCAAAAACGGGAGTTGCCATTAGGTTACCAAAACACGTTAGTCGGAATCTCCAATTCCGACAGGAATTTAGGTTTTGAAAATCTGGATTTTTAAAAAAAACACCCCTCCTCCAGTCGGATTAGGCACTTCCGACCAGGGTTTTTTAAATGATTTCATTTAATTTGGAAATTACAAAATAAAAAAACACCTAGTCGGAATTGTGTAATCCGACCAGGGGAGTGTTCGAAATTTTTTAATGTTTCCATTATTTTATTTGTCTAACCCGAAGGAATTAAAAAACAGTAATAATAATAAAATAAATTACCTAGTCGGAATTGTGTAATCCGACTAGGGGTGTTCGAATTTTTTAAATATTTGCTTTTTATCCTTGTCGGAAATGAGAAATCCGACCAAGGAATATGTTTTAGAATTTTTGTTTTTTTAAGAATTTTTATGATATTTTATAAATTAAGCTATATTTTGTTTTCTTTTAAGAAATTTTATAAATTAAATATTTTATAAATTAAATTGTTATTTAGAAGTATTTATTTTACTAATTTTTAAGTCATTTAATTAGAGAATTTCACATTTTATAATATGACACGTTTAAGTAATTTTTAACTCATTCAATTACATAAGCTCACATTTTATATATTTATTTTTTGTAGTATATAATATTATTGAAATTTATGAATGTATCTATTTTGTACAGTCATAAACTCGGTTGAAGAGTCGGACGACCCAGACTGAATGCCTCGATGACATGGTGCTTTGGTCGGCTGATGTGATGCTCATAATTTGCAATATGCTGAAAGGCATTACCGCAATTGATTTCTTCGGTAGTTCAATATTTTGCAAGATATTCCGAAAAACCCAAAGCAGAGTAATGATCATCACACCAATCATATCGGTCCAACATATCAACCGGTGCCTTAACATTGTGGGTGAATGTGCTAAATTATATATACTACGATACAAGCCAAAATACGATAAATGGAATTAGGTTACCAATATACGAGAGTCGGATTCCACAATATAAAGGTTCAATAATGATTGAGAACATGTGTTATATTTTATTTGACCCGATAAAATAAAATACTACCCCTGTTCTCTTTTAATTGCGACATTGGACTTTTGGGATATATTGGGATGACCTCTAAAAACAGTTTGAGAATTGAAATACAGCTTTCGGGGTCAAATGTACACTTTATATGACGTTACATTTTTTAACTTCATATCGGTAATCAATCAATGTAGGTGGATCATCCCCAAGTCATATAAGGGATCCCCAAGAAATATGGCCTAGCAGTCGTCTTATTGAGGCGCACCTTTCGGTATTTTTCTTTTAATTTTTTGGACACTTTTGAAAATCGGAGTTACTTTTAACAGTATTTTTCAGACGTTTTTAACGGTGTGACCCTCTTGTGATAACGGAATTCAAACACATGAACCACTTTGATAAAGAATGAAACACATGACGCTATCTGAAAATGAGCCCAACCACAAGTACCTTTTCCGTACTTTTCCCTAAAATTTAATTTATAAAATTTTTTAGAATAAAACAAAATATAGGGTAATTTATAAAATTTCTTAAAATATCATAAAATTTCTTAAAATAAAACAAAATAAAATTTCTAAAACACATCCCCTACTCGGATTTAGAAATTTCTAAAATTTCTAAAATTTCTAAAACACATCCGAAACTGGTACAAGAAGCATGGCAGGACACGTGTCCAGAACCCTTCTCACAATGTGCCCACGACAGGCTACACCCCGACAGCACACGATTGGGGTATTGTGGTAAGTTTTTGAATACATACCATATTCGCTACCATATATCGGGTCATATTATTTACACGTGTTACATTTTTATGTAGAAGCAAGGCGTTCACGAGGTGTATCAGCTCTTAGCCGACCGCGCGAGTTACGAGGATTGTCAAAAATGACTACGGCAGATGGCCCTGGATGTAGGTGATGAAGATATGCTCCACCGGGGCATATTCCACTATGAAGATGAAGATGCAGGTGGAAGTGACGAAGAGAATGATTCAAATGAACGTGAAGATGGGGGTGAGGACTCACAAGCGCCCCCTCAATTCTCAACACAGGGTGTCTCATTTGATCAACCACCCCCTCAATTCTCAACGCATCAAGGTGGGTCATTTGATCAACCACCGCCGTATTATGATTCTTATCAGTGGTCCACACAACCGGATGATTATGTTGAGTAATTTCTGAATTCGTCTTTTCACTATGGAGACACAACGGGGCCTTGGAACACTGGCGGTGGGGACGGAGCAGGGCCGAGCGCGCAACATTAGATGTAGTATTAAATTTAATGTTGTATGTACCGTCTATTCATTAATAAATTATATTGAAAACTACATTTGTTTTGTTCACTTCCATTAAAATTACAAAAACATTTCACTTAAAACAAAATGAAATTTTTATCTGATTAGACGAATGGAGTAAATCAAAATTGCACTTAAAATTACAAAAATTGCAATTAAAACAAAATTCACAATACTAATGGATTAAAAAACAATTCAAAGCAATCAATTGTTTTCTTACTAAAAAAATCATAATGCTAATGCTAAGTCTTCATTTTAAAAAATATGTCATCAATCTAAAAAAAGTTTTAAATTTGGAATTGATATAATTTAACCCTAACACTTTTATTTTTTTTCGAACTCAAAATCAAAAATAAAATTGGGAAAAAAAAATATTTTTTGCCAACCTCTAACTAATTCGAAATAAAAAACAAAATTTGAAAAAAAAAATTTATTTTTTCCCTAGTCGGAATTGGGTAATCCGACTAGGGGGAGGGAATTATTTTCTTTCTTTGGGAACTCTATCTACTTCGACATAAAAAACAAAATTTTAAAAAAAAAAATATTTTTTCCCTAGTCGGAATTGGGTAATCCGACTAGGGGAGGGAATTATTTTTTAATTTGGGAACTCTATCTACTTCGACGTAAAAAAACAAAATTTAAAAAAAAAAAATTACCTAGTCGGAATTGGGTAATCCGACTAGGGGGAGGGAATTATTTTTCGAAATCCTAACTTCTGGTCGGAATTGGGAGTTCCGACTCCCGTTTTTTGGTAAACCCTAGGTAAATCCCCGTCTTTTGGCAACCCAATCCCCCTTTCCCCGTCTTTTGGTAAATCACCCTTAAAAAAACTCTGCGCACACCCAGCCGGCCCAACAAGTGAATCATTCTGTATTGAAAAAAATAAGTGTCGCTATTCGGTTGTAAAATTTTTGGGTTTGAAATCAATGACACTTATGTGTCATTAATGGTATTTTATCAGAAAGTGTCACTATAAAAGTGTCACTGTAAGCCATTTTTCTAGTAGTGATACTCTCGCTAATATCCTTCTCAACCGGCTGATTCTTCGTCCAAAGCTAGAGCACATACTCCGTCACCCGAGTTTGATCGATTTAGTCCATGGCACCCCTCAACAGTTCAATTGATTGAGTCCGTTGCAGCACCCCGTCCCTGTACTCCGTCGCTTCTTTCGTTCTCTTCTCTAGCCGCCCACGTACAACTCCAGTAAGTACTTAGTCCACCACTTCATTGTTTTTTCAGCTTTCATCAATATTATCTCTTATTTTCTATAATATTTAGATTTGATTTGTGTTTTACATCCCAAAGTATGATCATACAAACTGATTTTGGTTACTTAGTAAACATCTGAGTGCATTTCTACATATGAATGTGTGTGATGAAACTCATGCTCGATATATATTAAGTAGTTTGTGAAACAAATACGAAGCAACTCAATATTCTTGTTTGCATACAATGTGTTTGACAAAACTCCTCAAAGAATTGAGAAGCCTAACATCAGTGAGTTTTATGTATGAAATGTCATCAGAATATTTTAGTTTTTAGTTTCAAGTTGTTTTAACATTACACTATTACTCTATTAGAATATATTTTTGAGTTCATTTATATCAAATTGCAACTCTAATTCAATAAGGAAATATGATTAATGTATAATTGTTTTACATATCCCAAACTGATTTGCTTTGTTTATTTATAGATATTGGTATGACTTGGGACGGGGAAAAACTGATTTCCTTTGTTTATTCAAATGTGTGCTTCAGTTTTTGAGGATTTATATATATTTATTTCCTATATCATTAAACTGAAACGTAGAACTCCAAATTAAAATATTTATGAGCTAATTTTCATGTTTTGTCATTTATGTATACTATTTTGAGTTTTTGTTTGTACTCTAAACTAGGTATTAGTATTCAAATGGATAAGTCTTGGATAAATGATGCCATAGTGTGAAAAAATTACTTGAGGATGCATCAAAGACCTCCCTGCTATACAACTTGATTACTTGATGTAA